AAATCACTCCTGACTTTACTGGTCCAGGAAGCCTATGGAAAAGCCCCAGTTTGCACTCAACTTTGGAGATTAAGTAAGGTATTGAAGGGAGGTCATTCCATACAGAGGTAACTACAGGAGCAAAGTCATGGGCAGAGAAAATGTGCAAGGTGAACCCAGGCAGGTTGGTGTCAAAGGACAGTGCTTAAGAATAGTTTACATTTCTTCAACTGTTTTTATCAGACCTTCAAAAGCTTTAAGGAGAGACAGTGTGTCCTGGGGGCTACAGCAGCATCCAGAATCCCTGAGATTCATACACGGTCTACTTAATCTTCTCCTCTCTCCCTAACTGCCTCAAATTGCATATGAAATTCCAAAGGGGTTGCAGATTTTCAAGGAATTTTTCTTACCCAGAATTTTAATAAATATTCTAAACATGTTCACTCTCCACTGAATTATATTTTAACATCAAGACCAAAATGAACTTAAAATGTTTTTTAAGGAATATGAATAGGAGGCAAGTACTATATTCCTGGGAAGTAATTAGGGAATATACATTGACCATCTCTCTTTCCTTATTAAAAATTAAATAAAGCAATACATGAAATATTAGCTTCAGCTCCAAACTTGTGGAGCATCTGCCTTCTGTTAAATTGTTTATTTTATAAAATTCACTTTAACCTCCTTTTACACAGAAAATATTTGCATGCAATGTGGAACTATGCCTGATGGTTTGAGTTCTTCAGACAGCTAAAATATAGCTGTTTGTTGTGGCTTGAGGTACACTGGAGGTGAAAACAAATGCAAGGTAAGAAATCTCAAAGTAACCACATGCTTTACAGTTCATTATTAGAACCATGTTGTATATGACATTGGACAGCAGGGTACGTACCAGAAGGAAACATCCGAGGAGCTAGTGAAAGAAAGCTATCTATCTAGCTTCCTACAACAGTAATGGATACAAATCAAAGAAGTGAGTTACTACCATAAAACTTATAGGTTGTGTCTTATATAACATATCTGCAGTTTATTAAGCTCATGCAACAATTAGGCAAAGATCTGTAGTCTTAGCTAATACATATGCTTGGATATATGTTAACACAGACTGCTTGACCATAAAGACCCTAGGTGTAATTTACAGTAAACTGATCATAAAAATTTTCAGAAATCTCTATTTTTCTAAACTGTATTCCAGAAAGATGATTCCAGAGTACCAAAACAGCAATACAACAACTTGTCTACCGATTTATGCATAAGCACTGTAAAAATACAGTGTGCATTCTGAGTTCTATAATGCGAGACTACAGAAAGATAAGCAGATTAATATTAAATATTGCCAAAATACTAAAACAGCAGACACACAATTTATTTAATGACAAAGTGGGTGTGTGTGAGAACAGAAGGTCCCAGGATGATATTCCTGTTTAAAAGCTTCTAGAAGAACTTACATCAGATGCAAGGATCAGAATTAGCACCTCTCCCTGAGAGCTGCGGGGAGCTGAAAGCTGCAAATCATGTTTAAGAGGATGCCAATATCCTCTTAGAAAGAAAGCACCAAAGAACCGCAGATTCTGAGGGTTAGAGGCCAACCCTTAATCTCTCTTATTGTTCTCCTTACTCCAAAAGCTGATCCTAAATCAACTTTTAAGATGGAGATAATATCGTTCAACAGAGAGATCACTATCCTAAAACTGAATAGCTTCATTAGCTAAATTCAACATACACATTAGTGGGTCATATGATAATAAAACCCTAGAAGACAGAAACCATTAACATACCGTCAACCCTCAAGAAATCAGAATACGTGACATTTAGCATAAGCGTTGTGCTGAAAGTTAACGTTTACTGAGCAAACTCTTATTTCATAAACACTGAAATTCAACTGTATAAACAAGATCATGATGTGGATATAATAAGACACGTAAGAGAATAACTTCTCAAGCATTTCAGAAACATCTACTTATATACAGAGTAGAAAATAAATGTTCGCAGAATAAATTAACTAATGAATGAATATAGATAATTAACGTGCTAGTTACAAATCAGTAATGTTTGTTATAACAAATAACTTAAAAACCTCTATGAAATGACATGAAGAATTAAGAAGGATGAATGATGCAAACAACCTAAGTGTCCATCAATGGATGAATGGATAAACACATTGTAGTACATACATACAATGGAATACTATGCAACGATAAAAAATAATGATGAGTCCATGAAACATAACATGCATAAATCTGGAGGACATTATGCTGAGTGAAATAAGCCAAGTACAAAAGGACAGATACTGCATGACACCACTTTTATAAAAAGTCAAGAATAGGTATATACACAGAAAGCAATGTTCTTTGATGGTTATCAGGGATGGGGGGCAGGGAAGGGGAATCAC